GAAGCTGTAGGTGTGTTCGAGCCACTCTATTTATTAAAACGATATTAAGTAAATAGATATATCATATAGGAATTTAATGTAAATATCTGCAAATTCGAGATTCAAATTTTACCTTTTTATTGACCCATCTTTTTTGAACAGGATCAAAGTAAAACGAACTTTCTTCTCCCAAGTTAGCAACTTTCCCACCACCTTCTTTCTTTCCAAACCATCTTCCAAACCATCCCGCCTTTTCTTCTAATAATACAATTATTGATGATCAATATTTTTAGTTACTAAGGATGAAATCTTAAGATATTAACTTATATATCTCATAATATAGTAATTTTAACATATACCTTTTTTATCATCTTCCTTTGGTTGTTCCGACTCCTGGGTGGAATCCTCCGTTGATTCATAGTTATTATCATCGGTTTGTTTATCTTTCTTTTTGGAATTAAAAGCATTATTTCCTAATCCTAAGTCATATTCTATATTATCCCATTCACTATTATTATTTGTCACAGCATTATTTGTCACATAATTGTTTGATGCTGACATTGGCATGAATGATTGAGTATTGTCCATAGGCGAAATAAATTCACCTTCCCCATTATTATTAACTGGAATTTGATCCTGTTGTGAATCATTGTAGTTAGTATAGGGGCTGGGATTATTCCACCATGAAGAATCATTTTTATAAGATGTATCAGAATTCCCAACTTGTTGATAATATGGATACGTAGATTGTTGTTGCTTGTTCGCCTCATTGCCTGACCATGATGAATAATTATATTCCCCTTGTGTTGATTGTTGACCATTTGGAACAGAATCATATGGATATGCATTTTCAGACTGTAAACCATTGTCATTCGGTTGCGATTGTTGATACATATTATTATCTGAATTATTATAAGGACTATAACCAGTAAACTTGTGTTGTTCCTGACTGCCAGTGCCTTGCGCACCAAAAGATCCGAAATGACCAATACTATCATCTATTGTTGATGTATTATATGAATTGTTTTCGAGGACGGGTGACATTGAAATCTGCCCATCGGAAACTGTATTAAATTCATTATAGTTATATCCACCATTTACGTATTCGGCAGTTTGTACACCAACACCTGGCGTTGATGATCTTCGTTGATTTCCGTTTATTTGTTTTTGTAATCTTGCATTGGGAGTAGTTGAACGTTGTGCGTCATGATTTAAATCAGATGTCGTCCGAAACTCCGCTGCTGATACGCTACGAGACGGTACATTAGAAGTCTGTTGTGTAATTGCATTAAAGTGAGAAAAAGGTCCTACAGCCTCTTGCGATATTGTTGAATGTGGTTTCTGTCCATTTTCATCCACAGCATCACCTGCAACAAACTTATTAAATTTTACTTCAAGTGAATCCCATAAAGAATCAAGAGCTGCTTTGGGCATTTTTTTGGCAAATAACCAGGAAGACGATTCATTATTCCTATTTTGAACATGAGTAAATTTAAGAATACAGATAAATATTTATTAAAATATTTAAAAAAAAAAACTTACCCAGCACTATTGCCACCGTGTTCAAGTAGCCTTTGCGTTAGGTCTTTTAAGTTTTGCAAGAAACAGCCATGAAAATATGGTGAACCTTTTGTATATACCTTTACTATATTTGCAATAGATTCACAATATCTAAATATATATGTTTATTTTTAGAATAATCATAAATAAGTTGCGGAATAAAATGTCAATAAAATGGTAATTATTTTCTTGCCTTCTCGCTTCATTTAGATAACCGCAATCCACCAACCACCAAGCATAGAGTAACTTGTATGCTTGTAAAAACGGTAAACCATCATTATTATTTAACGAAAGTCCAAACTCGTAAATTTCTGTGAGACGTAGTGCTTTCCAATCGCAAAAAAAGCGGATAGATTGGTCATAGGTGTAATCTTTGCTCACAAGTGTGAATCGGGAATTAACATCATCAATTCCAGATTGGATGGAGGATAGAGGGGATAAAATGTAGCTATAATTTATATTTTTGTTTTGTTATAAAAATGTCTTAAAAGATTACGTTATAAAAAATATATATTATAATACGTACCATACGTGAGCAGCATCAATCCAACCAAACTCTTTTAACATATCTCCTAAGGCTAATATTGCTTGATTATCACCAGGTGTTCTATTTGCTAGAATCATTGTCAAAGTTTCACGCCATTTATCTAAACTCTCAATTGGAATATCGCATGTAGCTGAAGAAGGATATAAAGTGTTCATGGATACAGGACTATACCGCACATTGGCAGGAGGTAATTGTGAAATATTGGTTACTGGCGAGATAGGAGGAAATTTGGTTGTATTAGCAGGCTGAGTTACACAATTGAGCAATGTAGATTGAGGAAAAAATTGTTTGACTAGGGAAATAATAATATTAATAAATTAAATATAATTCAGAGTATAAATATTTAATAATAATAATAAAAAATTATTCTAAACATACTAGAATTTTGTCCATGTCCAGCAAATAAAGAATATAAAACTCTTAAACTTTCTCTTCCGCTAGACTGTGAAGCATCACCCAATTGGGATCCCAATTCATGTCTTATAAAACCATTTACAACCTCTTTCCATTGGTCTTTATTGACACAACTTGCAATTATCAGAGCATGAGCCCATAAATTTTCATTAATTGCATGATTTATGGCAGAAACACGATCTCCTTTAAGTAATAGTTCCTGCAATGTGTCAATGGCTTTTGGAGAAATGGCGTATGTTAAAGACGAAGACGTGGACAATTCTGATAAGCCTTGCGTAGAATCAAAGCTAGAATAGGCTGGGACAGTAAAGTTCGATTCATAATTCTCGGGTTTAGTGGTAGATGGTGTTAAAACGCAACGTACAGCTTCTTCAACTTTTGGACTATTATAAATGAGCAAATCGTGGTTCTGTCAAAAAAAAAAAAAAAAAAAAAAAAAGAGAAAATAGAAAAATACATATAGAATTTTAAAATGATAACAGATAACTAACCTTCCAACAATAATACCATCATGTTCAAACATGATTTTAAATAAGTGCCAAATAATCGTATTAGCTTCCAATTTTTTCTTTTCAACTTCTTCACCAACAAAAGAGTTTAGTACATCTTCTGCAATTTTGATTTGATCATTTAAATATTTTACTACATTTTTCCTCTTCGCTTTTATACCTCCCCGATTATTATCCATAAGCAGAGGGCCAGGGAAATCTTCAATATCTGGTAATGGAACTATATCTTTTAAGGTACGAATTACAAAGGCACCTGGTGCATATTTTGTGATTGGTATATTTTGGTTCGTACTATTAAAACGTTGGACCATACGAGGGAACATGGTGAATATTCTGCCTCCAAAACCAAAAGCGACTATAGGATACCCTTTAGACCTTCCTAAAGGATCATTCACAATGTTCATGCTATCAGTCCCATATTGCTGTTGGTCATTCATAATGTTCGTGCTATCAGTCCCATATTGTTGTTGGCCATACATAATGTTCGTGCTATCAGTCCCATATTGTTGTTGGCCGATAGCGTTTTGATAAATATTTGGCGTATCGACTACGGGTGATAAGGACTGATATCCAAACAATTGTAGAAAAATAAACTTGTAAGTATGTGAATGAAAGCAATGATAATGAATGACTAATACAAGCATTCACACATAATATTAGGAAAAAAAATTTCTAGATTATATCAGATAAATTTATCGCTGGATTATGAAGCACGGTACCTCATTAATGGCTCGCCCACATTCTGAACAAAATTTGGCGGTTTGTTTATTTTCTCCCGTACATTGAGGATATGAGCACGGCACAAATTGAACGACTTTTGGTGAAAATGGTGAATAGGATTGGGGTGGAGGGGTATTAACAACCGTAGATTGATTGGATTCATAATTTGGATACTGTTGACTAGATTGATGAGTTGCGGATATTGTATCGACGGTCGGTTGGCCACTGTATCCAGTATACGAATAGTTAAAATTGTTGGCATTAGTTCCAACAACACTATTATCGTATTGCGTATATGTATCAGCTACATATTCTTGATAATTATTGTTTAATTCATTTGTTCCGGTATAGGAATCAACTGCAGGATATTGTGTATGCTGGTTATTTACATCCTCAATGCCGGCTGCAGCTTGAGTAGTACCATAAGTTTGATATTGGTATATTGAATCGTCGGTACCCCAATTTTCATATTCGTAGTAATTTTGCTCAGTAGAACCATAATAATAAGTCAAGGCTGGATCGTTTGTAGCTTCACGTATGGTTGATGGTACAGGTACCTCGGAAGTTTCAGATGTTGTATGACCTAAAACTAAATCATCCAAATCGTCCAATTCGCCTGTTTCTTTACTTGTTAAACCAGTAATTTCTTCTGGCTCTTTAGAAACACCTAATTCTGTCGAAATTTGTGAAATATCTGCTATTTGTAGTGTAGGTTGGTCTACTTGTGAAAACTCTGTCGTGGGGGGAGGGTTGGAATCATTTATGGGTGTAAAAAATATAGCATCAAAGGGACTCTGTATAGAATCGCTAAATAAAGAAGAAGCAGTGCCAGCGATCTTTATCTTCTCTTCAGAAGTAGCTGAAGTAGTGTCAAATGTACTTGTACTGCCTTCCATTATTCTGTTGGCAATAACGCCTTCAAATATAAATATTAATTGTTAAACTGTATTTTCTATCAAAATAAAAAAGAATCAATACAAAATTAAACCAATTAAACAGCAAGTTGACCAGCATTATAGAAGTTATTTCTTAATTATGAACCACCTGAATTTAGAATATCTTTATAAAAAAACGTGGGTTTTTTTCCTTCAATAAAATTTTATCGATAAAATTTTATATCGATATGTAACAGGAAATTAATTGCATTATATAACTCATTATCATTATCCAAATTGTTTTTTAATTGTATCATTTTTACATTTTCTATAAACAGGTGACCAAAAGATTTACTATCGCTATATTAAAATAGAAGAAATATTTTATACGTACTAGTTATTACTACTGTATAAGTTGTTTTTAACTTCTAACTCTGAACTCATTTAGCTGCTACCGGTATATAGTATTTAAGTGTGATATGCAATTTTTCGGATATTAAAAGCTATATATTGATTAATAATTATTTATTTATAGAATTTTGTTCAATATTAGCAGGTTGTGATATTGTTTAAAAAAAAAAAATTAAAATTCGGAGCTAGTATTAGGGTTAGGGTTAGAGGGCGTATATATTCAAAATTAAGAGCTGAAAACTTTTAATTAGAATCCCAAGACTAGTTTATGATGCTGAAATCGGATGATGCTGTGAAATTTTAGCCCGTTTTTTTTTACAGCTTTTTTTTTTTAGTTAGGCTAGGGTTTAGGGTTAGTGCTGTATCATCCGATTTCAGTATCATCTCTTAATTTTTGTTTTTGTTATATTTTGTTATACAAGATTCTGTGTTCTAATTGGTTAGTTAAGATATTTAACAATATTCTATTTACGTAAAATTAATGTATTTATAGCCATAGGTCTTAACTAAGATCAGGTATAATATAACTATTAAAATATAGTTTAACTTCTTTATAGTTATACTCTTGAAATAAAGAATTTATTAAATAAAAATTTTTTTAAAAAATTTTTTAATTAATTAATAATAGTTGCTTTATATAAAAGTCAAAACTTTATTAAATAAATTGATCTTTTTATATTAAGTAAAATTGTTTGAAAAAAACAATATATATATATATTATAAAATTTTTAGATTTTTTTAAAATTTTTTTACTAATTAATTTATTATTATTATTATTATAATATTATAGTAGAAACTTTATTCAAAAGATATTCTCTCTATAGATCAATTTTATTAAAATTCAAGCTAAAGATTAGCTTATAGAAAACATTAAATAGCTTACATCTGAAAAGTAAAATAAATATAAATTTGCACAGATCTGTAAAAATACAAAAAAAAGTGCAGATTTTTATAAAATTTTTAGTAAAAATCTGTAAAATTTTGTAAATTTACAGATTTGTGTAAAATTGTATTTAATTTTTGCATCTATCAGTAACAGATCTGAAGATTTGTACAAATTTTTATTAAATTTATTATTTAATTTTTTGCAAATTTGTACAGAATAGTACTAAAATTAATTTTCTGATATATGAAATATAATAAAGCCTACTAAGATAAAAGATTCAGAACTAGAAGTTATAGCTAAACAAGTAGCAAAAGTAACTAAAGAGAAGTAAAAAAAAAAAAAAATCTAAAAAACTCTTCTTGACAAAATAATTTTTGAAATTTTGAAAAATTTTGAAAAACAACAAAAACCCTGAAAATTCTATAATTGTTTGTTATACAAGAATCAGAATATAAATAGACCAATTAAGAAATTAATATGAAAAAGGATAATCATATATTAGATTAGAATAAACAAAGCAGAACAACAAAGATAGTATATATAATATATATAAATAGTAAACAAAGTGATATACACTATAATAAAACTAAACAACTTCTAGGAGTTTACAAAATAACATATTAAGAATTAAAAAATAGAGTAGAATAAATAGATCAGATAAAGAATATATATAAAAGAAAATATATAGAACAAAGAAAAAGCAACTAGATTAGTAGGAATAGTAACTAAAGAATATGATAAGGAGATAATAGCAGAAGAAAGCAAAGTAATAATAGGTTTAGAAGATTATATAGATAAAATAATTATAGAAATATTAGAAGCAGATAGCAATATAGTAACAGTAACTAAAGAATAGAGAAAAGTAAAAGAGAGAACAGTAATAACAGAAAGAATTAATAAAGTTAAAGCTGTATTAGAACAAAAAATTCAAGTTATAATAGCAGAAAGAGAGAAACTATTAATTTAAGAAGGTAAAAACAAAATAAATATAAAAATACTAAATTTAATTAACTTGTTAAAAACAGATAGTAGTATAACATAGTTAGAAGTAATTTTAGAAGGAGACTACTTACTAATAACTAAAAAGTTCAAAGAAAATTATATCTGAATAGAAGATATTAAAGAAATTTAAGATACAAAAACAACTATAACAAACAACAACCAATACTCTAATACTATAGAAGAATCAGAAAAAGATTTTATTTTAGCAGAATCTGATTCTTCCTTAAAGAGAAGTATTTGGACTCTAAGCAAAGATAAATATGAAAGAAGAAAAAATATAAAAGCCAAAGTGATAGCTATTAAAGTTCATGAAGATAATATAATTTATAAAGAAAAATTATTAAGATAGTCAATTAGAAGAAATTCATATTTTAAAAAGATATCTGAGAAGTTTAAACAAGGTAATCTTTAATGTACTCTTACATTTAATTGCTTAAATAGCTATGCAAAAACAAAAAAGAAACTAGAAAGTAAGAAAAAAGAATATGAGTAAGCTAAATTAATCCTCGAAGAAAATATTAAAAAAGATGAGAATATTTACATTTTAGTAAACAATGAAGCAAAAACATTAAACTAAAAAATTAAAGAGAAGAAAAATAAACAGGCAAACACAGAGTTAGAAGAGGTTCTAATAAAAAGAAAGTAGAAAGATAAATTGAAGATAAAAATAAAATAACAGTCTAAGATCTACTAAGCTAAGCAAAAAGAATGCAAGTTTTTAAGATAGTCTGATTTTTAAAAAGAGTTAAGTATATAGAAATAATTAAGAGTACATATAACAAAACAAGAGCAAATATTAACTTTAAAATAAGCATAGTTGATAAAAGGAAATTGAATAAAATTTGGTATTTGCTTTTTATAAACTAATTATTAGTAAGAATAATAGCAAATACTAACAATTATGAACTATTTCATTTGAGAAACAGATTTAGCAAAAGACTATTAAGACCTATCAGAGAATATAAACAAGATACTTTTATAGAGACAAGTTAAAAAATTAGAAGCTAGAGTATTGTATATCTTTAAAAACTCTAATAACAACAATATAGAAAGTATAACAGTATATTTCAATAAATAAGAAGATATATTCAACATTTTTAGCTTCTTAATATACTACTATAACAACAAGCTAAAATAAGAAAAAACAAAAAGACAAGAAGATAAAGTACTTAAAAACTCAAGATTTAGAGAATATAAGGAAACTAAAACATATTAGAAAAGAAGTGTAAAAAGTTTAGAGAAAAGAAAAAAACTGAACAGGAACAGGAAGGTAAATATTCAAAATCTATACAAAACAGAGCATAAAGAGAAAATAATCTTTAGCTAGAAACAAAAAGTAGTATAGCAAATAGATTATATAAAGATATCAAAATATATATAGAAATCCACAGGTAGTATCAGTAATAGAAAAAAATGCAAAATATAAAAAAAAAATAGCTTTAAAAAAAGAAATAAAGATAACAAAAAAAAAAAGTTGAATATGCAAAGCTATCAGAAAAATTGAAACAACAACAGATCTCTAGAATATATAGCTTTCTTAGTACAAAACTTAGAAGAAAAGCTTAGCAACTTGAATATAAAAAGTCTAAATTGCTCCTAACTTATGTACTAATTGAATTAAAGAGAGCCTAACTTGTACAAGAAAGAAAACTTATGTAACAAAACAAGGCAAAGCAAAACATAAACCAAATTGGAGTAAGCATTAGTACAAATAAAAAAGGTTTAAGTACAACAGAGATTAGAAAAAGTATTAAAATA